AAAAAACTTGCATTACACTCGACAGACAGCCAGGATCTGACGGAAGCGTAAACATTTCGAAACATACACCTTTTAGGAATTATCTAACGTTCATATATAATGCAATCCCGATTCTCATCGCTCTGTCCCTCTTATCCAAGGTATAGCAAGAGATGCCATCTACTGGCCCACTGAATCTTGTGGCAGAAGATCCAAAAATACATTTAAGGCATCAGTTGGCGTTGTCCGGATTGCTCCGCTAATGCAGATCATACTAATCCTCTGTACTTTGCTTAATTTAGAGGCTTTGCTTAAGGAAGGTCACCATAGTATAATACCATAAACGAGAATCGGTCTAACAACCGCTGTATTAATTCAGCGGCATATACCCCGGGCAACCCCCATAACTTACACAGACGCGTTATCATAACGTTGGACTATGTTTTCTGTCTTTCTGTCGAGGACTAAGAACTTCGCTTTATTCGTAAAGTTTAAGAGTAACCTATTTAGTTCAGGCAGAGTCAGTAGCGGTGTCTTGTATCTTTTCGCCAAGCGAACTAGCTCCATTTTCTCCGAATTGACGCAGAGCCCGCAAAGCGTGGACTATCTTGATATATCGCGAAGGGTCCTCTGCATTTGGTCGTGGTGGTGAGTTTGCGGGAACTTGCCGCTCCAGCGATTACTACGTCATCCGTACAAGAGACAACCTCGGCGCTTGCCCATTTCATCTCTCGCAAGAGAGCATTCACGGTTAAGTTCCAAGGGAGTGGCGAGAACATGCCACCCTGCAGTGTGCCCTTTGTCACATGTCTTGAAGCCGAGTTCTCACCGACATTTGCCGTGATCACCCCGCATAAGAGCATCTGCATTATAAACTCCACCAGAGAATCGTCCACCTCTAGTGCCCTCAGGGCCTGGGTAATGGCCTATGAATTTATGTTGTTAAAAGCTCCCTCAATGTCTACAAAGGCTACAAGACTACATTAAATTTGGGAAATTTAAAGAAATAAAATAAGCATTCGCGGTGCCCTCTTCTTGGAACTTTTGAGGCGATGGTCCTACTGGCTTTGAATCTTTATTCTTTGCTTTTATAGATTGACCAGCGCTTCAAGGCCTTCTGCTCCAGCATAAATGAAATATACCACACATGCTTACTGCGATGGTTTTCCTTAGTGAACCTCCGTTGTTTTAAAAATACACCTTATCATATACCTTCGAATGTCAGGAATATTCAAAGAAACCCCGCTAGAAAGCCTCAACTGGCAAAAGGCATTTTTATAGGATAGGAAAATGTGAACCCTGTTTAGATTGTCTTACCCTAGCAATCGCTGTTTGTCTCTGGGACAGCACGCGCACGCTTCTGCTTCGATGTTGCTTTAAGTTTATATATGGATCTAAGAGCGAATATATGTATTTCTGATGGATGTAGCATAGACGGTTCCATATGAAATCTACTTTACTTAGTTGT